CCCCCAAAACCCCAAAACCCCAAAACCCCTTAAAATAGCTGTTAAATTGAAAATTTAATATGAGCGAAAGTACTCGTTGGCAGTCAAACAATAACCTCACTTTAAATGGTACCATTAACAACTTCAGTCAGAATGCAGTCAAGGGCGTAACCAAAGTCAAATATCTTCCGCTCAAATAAATACAGAAGGTCTCCTGTTGCTAAATACACCTCAAAGCTAGTTCCAAGCACTCACAGCTTCAGACTCAGCAAGAAACCCAAAGTAATGTATTGTTGATGATACCGTGATAGAACTCCAAGGCTTCCAAGTATTTCAAGAATACCCAAGGTACAAATATCTTCAATCACAAATGTCATTCTCATTCGCTCAACCAAGCTTTAGATCAGCCATTGAGCAAAGTCGATACAAACATTGAGCCACATTCGCTGGCCACAGTCATGGAGCTGATCAATTCTCAGAACAAATAAGATTGATCTCTTGATCACCGACAACACCCAAATGAGGGAGAAAGTTAAGAAGGTTCAGAGAGACTTTGAGCGGAACGAAAGAAACTACAATGGAACTATCAAAAAGTAACTTCTACAATCATCAGTAGAATGCGATTGGATTTCGGGATCCTCAGTAACAAACTTGAAAATATCTACAAATATCTGAAAGTTGATTTGAACAAGGTAAGCAGACAGTGTGCACATTTGTGTAGAACAAAACTCCACTTAAGAACACAAGCAATGGGCACAAGAAATCAAGCCCCAAATACAGCTCGAAGCTGAGCTTTCGAAGCCAAGAAAAACATAAAGATTATAAGATTCATCCTTCAACAAGAATCATCAAGAAAAGGAAATTCAGCACCAAGAAGTCAAAGGTAATGCTTTACGATGATATTCTGACTTCTTGTAGTTTCTTTCAGACTCAAAGTCGTCTAATCCAGACCAGAATATAAACTGCGATAAGATATTTAATCTGCAGCTGAGTCTCGATTCTGACAAAAGTAAGCGCTTTGTTTCACTCATAGGTTCGAGCAAGAAATGAGCAGGACACAGAACCAACAAACACCAAGAACGGTACTCGAGAAGATACATGTCTCCAATGTGCAGCGACAACGAAATTGAGTCACAGGTGCCGCAGATGAAGAGTCTGGTGATTGATGGATGTTCTCCGATTTCGTACTACAACAATGCAATTTGAGAATTGTGTGTTGACAAGCCATATCAGGGTAAGTGCAAGTTTATCAAATGAGTAATTGGGACTTTGGACAACAATAAGTGGATTTGTGTATGTGTTAGAAACTTCTAACTTTATTTGGTCAAACTATCCTCTGTTACATCATACTTTTGAAAATCTGAGAAACTTACGTGGCTAAATAGCTAATTGCCTTTATCATAAGGGATATGAATAACTCAATCCAAATAAGTATTGATGAGAATTAAAATCAGACTCATATTTATTTGCTTGCTTTCTTGCTAACTCTTTTCAAATAGATACTCAGCATGAACTCATGGGCATCAAATCCAATCTTACAAGCAAACTCTCGGCAAGCAATGAAGAAGAGTCCAGCACAAGGAACAATGAAAATGCAATTGCAGGTAATCATGATGGTCGAAGTGTTTAGGCAAGTATGCATCTCTAAATGCAATGCGAAGTCATAGAGAGATCATGGAGAGCACTCCCGAGGTGTTGAGTTCTGTGAACTGAGGAAGCACCCTCAACAAAATGAATGATGACATGAATGGTCGCATGAAGAACAATTCGAAGAGTAGGAAGAAGTGGTTTGATTCCTAAAATATATTTAGTCAATTATGAATATCTTTATGGGGTTTTGGGGTTTTGGGGTTTTGGGG